GGTGCAGCTGCTGACCTTCAGCACCCGCTGAGGGGAGTTCAGCGTGGAAAGTGAGGCACTCTGTGCTCCATGGAAACTGGTGGAACAAGTCTTTAGGAAGTTACATGTTTTCAGGAACCCATTTCATGATCCCAATCCTTGCGTCTCTTCATATCAAGAAAAGCACTAAATCCCCTCATGGTGACACACTGTATTAGTTTGATCTCTGGTGAGTAGCTAAGATCAATCATGTAAGTGTTTTGTGTCTGACTCCCAATAAAACCTCTAGACACCAAGGGTGGAGTGAGCTTCCCTAGTTGACAACACTCTGTACATACTGCCAATATTGATGCTAGAATTAAGCATGCACACCAGCATCTCCTCTTCCTGCCTAGATCCGTGGGGCAGACTGTGGACCTCTTGGGCAGGGGCTGAATGAAACAGAATTAACTTGATTCGTGTCATGGTGCCTTTTCCCTAGGACTGGTTATAAGCAGCAGTATCCCTGTGGCTCCATCTCTACCTCCTTGAATGCCTCTCACCGTGGCCACCAGCCTCTCCCAGTCCTCGCCCTTCCGCATGTGGCACACGGTACCTGTCATGCCCCTCCCTCTGCAGCGCTGTCCCTGTCCAGATCACCTTCTGCTGTTTCCTGCTGCTGACCACCACGTGGGCCCCATCCTGGGCCAGACACTGGGCAATGGTGAAGTTGATCCTGCAGGAGAGATGGAGAAGATGAGGCAATCAGCCCAGGGCTGAGCCCTTCCTGTCTTGCTGCATTTCTAGCCTTACGGCCCCAAGTGAATTTCCTACTATCCTGGAGCAGCTAACCTCGTGCTCTGTTTATGGATGATCAGAGGACCAGAGAGAGTCAAGAGAGAACTTCCCTTCATGGGTGTGTTGGACAGGCTGCCAGTGTCTATCAGATCTTGGCTTCACCTTCTGTTCAAATGGCTGCAGCCTGGAACCCACCCGCCCGCCCGCGCTGCTCCGGGTCGGCTGGGAGGCGGCAGCCCGCGCCGCCCTCCGCCCGCCAGCCAGTCTTCTCCGGGAGCGCTCTCCCCGCCCTGCCGCCTCAGAGAAAGTTTTCGTCGTCGGGAGGGACCAGAGGCGCCGCGGGCCTTCGGGGAAGGGAGGGAGGACGCAAGAGGAGGCTCCTGCCGCGCGGGCCCGGGAGGTGTATGGTGCCCGGCGCCTCGGCCGCCTGTCGGGAGGACGTCGGGGCGGGGTCGGGCTGAGGCTAGCTCCTTCTTTCACGCGACCTCGTCAGAAATCGCCCTCCCGGACTGCCGCGGGGTCCCCGCTCCTCGGCCCGCCATGTCCCGGCTGCTGCCGCTGCTGAGGAGCCGGACCGCGCGCAGCCTGAGGCCGGGCCCGGCCGCCGCTCCCCGCCCGCCCTCCTGGTGCTGCTGCGGGCGGGGGCTGCTGGCGCTCTCGGCCCCGGGCGGCCCCCGGGCGCTGGGCACCCACCCCAAGAAGGAGCCCATGGAGGCGCTGAACACGGCGCAGGGCGCGCGCGACTTCATCTACAGCCTGCACTCCAGCGAGAGGAGCTGCCTGCTCAAGGAGCTGCACCGCTTGGAGTCCATCGCCATCGCCCAAGAAAAGTTGGAAGCTCAACCACCAACCCCAGGACGGCTGAGATATGTATTCATCCACAATGCGATACCTTTCATAGGGTTTGGCTTTTTGGATAATGCAATTATGATTGTTGCAGGAACCCATATTGAATTGTCTATTGGAATTATTTTTGGAATTTCAACTATGGCAGCTGCTGCTTTGGGAAACCTTGTGTCAGATTTAGCTGGTCTTGGACTTGCAGGCTACGTTGAAGCTTTGGCTTCCAGGTTAGGCCTATCAATTCCTGATCTCTCACCAAAGCAAGTTGACATGTGGCAAACACGTGTTAGTTCACATTTGGGTAAAGCTGTCCGAGTGACTATTGGCTGCATTCTAGGAATGTTCCCTTTGATCTTCTTTGGAGGAGGTGAAGATGATGAAAAACTGGAAAAGAAAAATTAACTTACGTAGAATACCTTTAAAAAGATGTAAACTAATGTACCTCAGTTATCAAATATGCTGTCAACAGCATTTAGGAATTAAGACAGTAACAGTGTATAGATAACGGGATCAAATAATTCAACATGTATTATGGAAAACACTAACTTATTGTGGCTTGGTTTTCTTAGGACATCTTTTTAAAAAATTTTTGTGTAAATTGGTAAAATGCTTTTTCATCAATGGCAGTCAACATTTTACCTTTTCTTTTTCTTTATATACCAAAATACCATTTAAGTATCAGTTGTTGATGTACCGTGCTAACTTGAGATTTACCTGTTTGTTACTTACCATGTGTACACGCATGAAAGCATTTTCTGTCGTTGTTGTCCCCTACAGTAACAATTCAACCTTAAAATTTTTTCCAAATTACTTAAGATGTTTAATATCAGTTGAATATTTCTTTTTTACTCTCTTTTTGGCAACATCAATTTTGTACTGTTTCACAGTAAACATTTACAATCATCTAGTTTCAGTCATTTTTTTAAAACTCTCACATCTATTCAAAATGAACAGACTTTAAGTACTTATCACTCATTTTAATTTTCTGACCTCTCAGTCTCAAGAGCCGGAGATTAATTAGGATGAACAATTATTTTTAGTCTCCCTACTACATAAGAACATATATGTTAAGAAGTGCATTATTTTGAGTTGGTTTTTATGCTTTTATTTTCTCAACTTTGAATAATTATGTAGTGGTTTTTGACTCCTACGGGAAAGAAAGTCACTAGAGTGCTTTTAATGGGGATTGTGAGATTTGGGTCAACTAAGAGGTTTCACATGACACTTGGAAAGTTACGAGGCTAAAAAAGTTTTTTTCACAGAAGTATAAAATGGAAACTGTTAAGAAGGTCTGTGGTATAATTGGTGAACTTGAGGTGATGTGTGTAAGGTTAATAAGTACAAATAATATTGTTTGGGAATGCTCCTCCCCTCCAAATGTCTTCTTATCTGAGTTGAATGAATTTGAATCCTAATGTTATATCTTCTTTAGCAGATATTATTTCTGGATAATTTCTTTTGAGGTGAAAAATAAATATTTAGTATTTTACTTTTTCTATATATATATGGCCTAGTAATCGAAAGATGTATGAGGAAAAATTCTTTCTCCCATTTTTCGTTCCCTTTCTTTTTTTTTTTTGTTCCCTTTCTTTTTTTTTGTGGCGTTTAAATCATATTCTAGATTGAAGTTCCTTATGTCCGGTCTTGTGTATCTGACCTAAGCGTAGCTAGAATTCACATCTATGCTTGTGAGTCATAAATTTTAATTTTATGAACCTGTAAAGTTTGTTAGCATGTGATCTGTTACACATGCTAAAAAATTACTCTTAATTGTAAGAGTACTTAAATATATCACAGAGGAGAAAAACAAATTAAAATTACTGTTTGGGCCACTGAAACTATTTACTTTGCTAAATAGATGAAAAGAAGGGAAGCTTAAAGATGGCTGTATTTACATCTACCTTATTTTAAAGTTTTATTTACACATTTGCTTTGAACTCTTATTTTCAGAGGAGCTGGTTTCTCTCACAAGACAGTTTGTGATAAATTCTTTTCTGTTTACTTCAAAATTATTTTAGAGCTATCCTGTAGTCATAGATTTTTGAGGGAAAAATAGATCATATGCTATAAAGATAAATATATAACCTTATTATGTACAAATAATGTGACAGTTTTGTTTAATCAAATTAAAATCATAAAACTTAACATCTTAAATAGAATTTTGGTTTGTATCTCCCACATAACATCACAGACACCAAAAATTTTTTTTTATTATTATTATTTCAGATGATAGGATTAGTGATTATTTAAAAAAATTTTTTTGGTAAATGTTTAAGTGTTTTTGTGCATAACTTGTATTGCCAGCCCTGTCTGTTCTCTAAAAACATATGTTATTGTGGTGCTTAAATTTTCTTTTTATTAAGTCCTATATCCAGAAACCTTGCCTGTGAGTTTAGAAAGGGCTTTTGATTTTACTTTCTTTTTTGCTTATGAAAATAACCCAGTCCTATAGAATCTTTTAGTTTAACTGTGGAATTATTTAAGATTTCAAAATATGGAATATACAGCCTTCATATTGAAAAGTACTTTAATTTATGGTTATAATAAAACTTGCATAATTCAGGTAATTAGTTTAAAAGAATGGAGCTCTTTCGTCCTTAACCTAAGGTACACATTTTTTTCCTAGTATGGTGCTTTGCACAAAGTGACTTCTGAAAAATGGTTCCCTTTAAGATAATGACGTCATATAATCATTGTTTTATGTTACTTGTTATGAAGAATGTTATTTCAGGTTGAAACTGGAGTTCTTATTTCTTACATTAAGTATTTCTTTATTGGGAGCAACTATAACTATGGTTAAATGCAACGTGAGCTGTGTCAATACTGTTGATGTGAAATCATGTTGTCTGTGTATTATGATTTATTGACTTACTTATGCATGTAAATTGGGTGCATTTTGTTGCCACTGTATGTTAAACGGTGACCAATGTTTTTACAAAGGAATTGGACAAAGAAAAATAACTTTTAAGAAAAAAAAAAAAAACAAATGGCTGCAGCCTGAGAGTTTGTTGCCTCCAGTCTGTGAAACCACTAGACACCTAAAAGCATGCAACATGGAAGCACGGGGTCTAATTCCATCCAGAGCGACTCTCGATCACTGGAGGCAGGGCACGAATGACTGAACTGTCCCCCTGACTTTCCCTGGTGGACACTATGAGGTATAGTTCCTATGTTTCCCAGAGGATCTGTAGAATCTAACACCCGGTGGCCTGTAGTGGCAGCCAACTCCATGACTGGCCCATGCTGGCTTTCTCTCCTTTCCTGCTTCCCTTCTTGTTTCTCCTTAGGGTCACATTCCCAAATAAACTATGACACTTCCACCTGGGGATGAAGTTAAGACAACGAGGTCGACAAAATCTAGACACGCCCACAATTCCCAGGTCCCCCAGATGTTCTCTCACCCATTTGTAGATCCTGTGACCACGGCAACTTTGTTGATCGGGTTGGTGTTACCCCTGGCTCCCCTGCTGGTGCCCCTCATGGACAGCAAGGCCTTAGAGGGCAGGAGACCCCTCCAAGCTCGGGTCAGGGGCCTAAACATAGTGGTTTCTGTTGGGTCTTCCTCTTGGTGAGCTTGGTCTAGGGAGGTTTCTAGAAAGTTAATCACAGTTGCAGTCAGCAGTGTCTCTGAGTAAGGAGCTGATGCAACACCTCCCTGGTTGGGCTAGATCCTGGGTGGTCTGGGGATCACTCTGGGAAGCTCAGCCTAGAACCTGTTCTTCTAGTCCTTCTCATGGTTTTCTGAACACAGACTTTCCTATATGAAATCTTTTCTGTTTAAACTAACTGGAGTGGTTTCTGCTGTTTAGAAGCAAATCCTAACCTATTCTCACACAGGTTCAAAAATTATTTAATCATCGAGATCCATAGGATAGTGAACATGTACTGTATAGGTTTGCTGCCTGAGGACCAAGCAAGTTAAGGTGTGAAAGGGTTTTGTAATGTGTCTAAAATATAAGCAGTTCTGTAGCTTCTTATAACAGTTGACGGTGTTTCATCATTCTATCCTTGAGAGACCCCTGGCCTCCAGCCTCTGGATGCAGCTCACCCTGCTTGCAGTGCTTTGCCCTGCCTGCTTCCCCTCCCACAGCCTCTTCTTTGTTTTCAGTGCATTAAGGGGATCCTTTCTCATGTATTATCTCCTCCATGTGACCTAGTTAGTGGTCCTATGCTTACTCCCCTTCTAGCATTTATGGCGCTAACTCTAATGGACTGTGTTGCATTTATCACTTTTAACAGGGTGCCCACCACCTGCTACTTGCTTAACAGATATTTATTAAAGGAATGAAAAAAAAAAATGAATGAATTGAGATTGGGCTGCCCTGAGCTAGTGAGGCTGTAGGGACCCCTTTGGACCATGGGTTGAATTTCTTAGTCACACTCGTCCCCTGTGCTGTCCTGTCGTGTCAGTTCAACTCTGGTCTGCAAACATTTACTTTCAAGAAGCCATTCTTGGATTTTAAGTGCTCAAGCTTTGAATGGCATCAGGCCGTGTGCGCAGTGAACTTGTGTTTTCCTGATGTTTAGGATTCTGACCCTCTGCTCAGATTTCCACAAATCTATAGCTCTGAACTGATTTACATAAAACCAATTCCCTTATTTAAGCACTTAAACTTTAGTAAATCTTAGGCAAATATCAAAGCAGCTTATGCTTTTGAAGCAAACTATATACACAAAAATTCATAATCTTTTATCTCAGAAACTTAGTTCCTATGGTTCCTATTCATTTATTATGGTTCCTTACCTCCCCTGTAGCCAGGGATTCAAAATAGAAGGGTTTCCTTGTCCTCCTACTTAACTTTTTGTCAGTGTCACTCCAGGCAGTTTATTCTTAAGTCTCTGGGGCTTCATCTTGTCCAAGAACCCAATCTCTCGATCTCCGTTCCCCAAACCATTTCTCAGTCTTTTTTGACAAGAATCTACCTGGGGAAATAAAAAAGCTAAGCATTTCTCCTCCCGCCCTCCCCAACTCCACCTGTTTCCTTCGCATCTTTCTTTATTTTGGGAAAAAAGATACACAATCTAGGAGTGTACTAGTTTCCTCATTTTTTCAACAAACATTTTAATGGGAACCTGCTATGTACTGAGTGCGTGGAATACAAAGATGCCTCTATCATGGTTTTACCTTTGGTACTCAAACTGAAAAGTGTGCAACACAGATTGGGTCTTGAACCCATGGTCTTTTAACTGAGATCACTCACCTGGTCTCAGGATTTAGTGAAGCTCAGATTCTAGATGTCATGACACAGAAAGAATTCAGTAGGAAACAAAATGATAAAGAAGTGAATTTATTTAGAGACAAACATACTCCACAGACAGAATGTGGGCCATCTCAGAAGGCAAGGGCAGCACCGTGGTGTGGGGTTGTCAGATTTTATGTGCGTGCTTTGTCATTCAGTTGTGTCCAACTGTTTGCAACTCCGCAGACTGGAGTGGATAATTTCACAGGCTAATAAGTGGGAGGAGTATTCTAGCTATTTTGGGGAGAGGGTGGGCATTTCCAGGAATTGGGCCGTGGGGGCCCACTTTCTGACCTTTGTGATCGGCCTTGGAATTGTCATGGAGCCTGTGAGTGTGTCATTTAGCTGATGTGTTAAAATGAGCATATTCTGAGGCTCAAGGTCTAGTAGAAGTAGACTCATCTGCCATCTTGGACCTATTTGGTTCTAATCAATTTATGTCTTGTCGTCAGGCTATGTCACTCTTTTAAAGGTTGTGAAAGAAAGAAAGATAACACTAAGTCATGTCTGACTCTTGCGATCCCATGAACTGTAGCATGCCAGGCTCCTCTGTCCATAGGATTCTCCAGGCAATGATACTGGAGTGGGTTGCCATTTCCTTCTCCAGGGAAACTTCCCAACTCAGGAACTGAACCCAGGTCTCCCACATTGCAGGCAGATGCTTTACCAACTGAGCTATGCAGGAAGCCCCTAAAAGGTTGTGCCCTGCCCCCTTCCCTCCTGCTTCAAAAGTTCTCATACTCTGAACTGGGTGTGCAGACAAGAGTATAGTTATTATCCATAGTGTTAGGAGGTAAATATGGTGAACACAGTTTCTGAACATAAATGTTGCATTGGTTAGATAAAATATATTGGGGAAAATAATACCAGAGTGGACTCAGGAAAAGGAGCTTTCCTTATTGTTATTTTTATTTTAAAAGATGCATGCTTTTTAAAAAAGGGGTAAATGTTCACTGTAAAATTAAAAACTATATATTTGAGAAAATTCATGAGAAAATTCAGGGAAAAGCTGTGAAAGGCTTCATAGTGAATCTGACTTTGAAATGGATTGATATATTCTATGGAAAGCCAGGCTTTGTCTAGAACACTCTTCAGGTGATCAGATTCTGTGGGGTCACTGCACCTTTCATTGCCTTTGAGTTATTTACAACTGATAGCAATGCAAATGACGCCTATCCACAGATGCAAATAAATGTTGTCTGGAGGAGATTCAATTGGTTTCCTTCCCTCCACTGTGGAAGAAATCAGCTTTGCATCTATTAAGCAAATTTATTTTAGTTTTCCTTATGGTCTCCCTCTATGTGCAGTTCTTTGAATTCACTTTTGAATCAGTTATAATATCTTAGTGGTTTCCTTCATGAATTATTGAGTTAAGTAAAAATTTTGGTACTTGTTCATTTTATATTTGTATGACAGTATGACTTTGCCTTATAAAAAATTATCCTTCAACAGAAGAAAGTAAAAATTTGATATCAAGTTAAATATTGTTGTTATTGTTTTTTAACAATTCCCTTAGCTACCTCTCTGCATATCCATTCTCATATAAAATCCATGTATTCAATTTTACAGAAAGGGATCACAGTACAGATGGATTTTCCCTTTCTCCATCCTTCCACCTTTTCCCCTCTTCTTTTGTATTTCCTTTCCTCCCTTCCTTCTTCCTTCCTTTTTTCTTCTTTCTTCCTTCCTCTCTCTCTCTCTCTTTCTTATATTTATTTATTTGTGATGTGGACCTTTTAAAAAAATTATTTACTTATTTTTGGCTGTGCTTGGTCTTTTGTTGTTGCACCAGCTTTTTTTCTAGTTGTGGTGAGCGAGGGCTACGAGCGAGGGCTCGTTTAGGTAAGAAGTGTGTACTTCTTGTTGTAGAGGCTTCTTGCTGTGGAGCACGGGCTCTGGGCACTCAGGCTTTCAGTAGTTGCAGCACGTGGGCTCAGTAGTTGCGGCTCCCAGGCTCTAGGGCACAGGCTCAATAGTTGTGGTGCATGGGCTTAGTTGATCCATGGCATGTGGAACTTTCCCAGATCAGGGATTGAACCCATGTCTCCTGCATTGGCAGATGATTCTTGACCTTGGCGCCATCCGGGAAGCCCTGATGTGGACCATTTTTAAAGTCTTTATTGAGTTTGTTACAATGTTGCTTCTGCTTTACATTTTGGTTTTTTGGCCATGAGGCATGCAGGATCTTAGTTCCCTGGCCAGGGATCGAACTGGTGTACCCTGAATTGGAAGGCAGATTCTTAACCACTGGACTACCAAGGAAGTCCCTCCTTAGCTGATTCTTAAAGGATGAATGAAATAAGGAGTTTAGGAATATGGGAGGGCACATCAAGTGCAAGGAAGGTGGCAAGGAGAGAAAAGCACAGTGGGAGGAACTACAGAGAGTTTGGTATTCCTGGAACATCCAGTGTGACATGGGGATGGGCTGGAGATGAGGCTAGGGAATTAGTCAAGGGCCAGATGGTGGCACTTATTGAATGCTGAGACAGAGAGCCTGGGCTTTATCTAGAGGACAGAGGAGAGATATTGAAATTTAATAAGAAAGGTGAAAGGGTCAAATATTGACATGGTTAGAGTTTTGCCTTCTAGAGACAATTTCTCTCTGTGTGTGTGTGTGCATATGCTCATGCACAGTTTGATCTGGCAGCTAAGAGATTACTGTAGCAGGAGATACGAAGGTCCTAAATCAATTAAATACCATCAGGAAATAGATGACAGAATCAAATCAGATAAATTAAAGAGAGTTTTCATGAAGGGACTATTTTCAGAGGTAAGGTATAGGAAAGGTGCAGGGATTGTGTGGTACCTGGAGTTAGCAACAGGGGAGTCAGCAACAGCTACCATCCAGGCCTGAAGGGACGAGACGAGGAAGTTGTTGTCCAGTCAATCAGTTGTGTCTGACACTTTGTGACCCCATGGACTGCAGCACACCAGGCTTCCCTGTCCATCACCAACACTCGGAGCTTGCTCAAACTCATGTCCATTGCATCAGCGTTGCCGTCCAACAATCTCATCCTCTATAATCCCTTTCTCTTCTTGCCTTCAATCTTTCCCACCATCAGGGTCTTTTCTGATGAGTCAGTTCTTCAGATCCAGGTGGCCAAAGTATTGGAGCTTCAACTTTAGCATCAGTCCTTCCAATGAATATTCATGACTGATTTCCTTTAGGATTGACTGGTTTGATATTCTTGCAGTCCAAGGGCCTCTCAAGAGTCTTCTCTAGCATCACATTTTGAAAGCATCAATTCTTCGGCACTCAGCCTTCTTCATGGTCCAAATCTCACATCCATACATGACTACT